CCCAACATCATCAGCCACAGCGCTGGGAGCCTAGCTTGCGATAGAGGCGGGCAAGAGCAGCGGGCAGTGTGGTTGCTCAAAGAGAGGTGGTCTGCGAAGCTTGAGTCCAACCTCGCCAGCTTTAATGACGCAATCATTATTGCGATGCGCGGTCCAATTCGGAGCAGGCTCAATTACAGTCCTGGGATCAACGCGCGCGGAAAAGGCAACTAGCCGCAGCAGGTTTTATTTTAATGGCGGAAAGCGAACATCAGCTACAATGCTAGGACCAGCGCGTGTGAGAATGGCATAAACTGGCAGCAGGCTCTGTTGTTGCTCGGCACGGTGGAGATGCGAAGCTGGAGCCGACATCGTCGGCGACAACTTCGGCGCCTGAGACATCCTCCAAATCTGCTCCGAAAGCGAAACATGTTGGAGGAGAAAAAGGCAAAACCGCCTGAGACATCCCCACAAAATCCCGCGAGAGGGGCCGAGGGAAATACCCCCCCGCCGCTCGCCCTGCGCTCCAAGAACCCCCCCGAGACCGCCAGCAGGCCCCCAAGAGGCCCCCCAGAAGCCCCAGGAGGCCTCCCAGAGGTCCACAATCAGGCCCCGAGGTGCCCCCAGGATGGCCCTGAGAGGCCCCAAGACGCCCCAAAGACCGCCCCGATGAGGCTTCCGAGGGAAGATCCCGCAGGGAGTGGGCGGCTTCGTGACCGCGCCAGCCGCTCAAAGAGAGCCCCCTGCCCGACCCGAGAGGAGACCAGATGTTCGAGCACGCGCGCCGAGGCCATCGCGACAGGCGTGTGCCAGCATCTTCTCACATACCTTTCCTCCTCGCTCCTCGCTCCACGCTCCCCGCTCCTCCCCGCTCTCTCCTCGCCCCTCGCCTCCTCGCTCCTCGCTCTCTCGTCTCGCTCCTCCTCGCTCCTTCCACCTCCTCGCTCCTGGCCCCATCGCTTCTCTCCCTCCTGGCTATGCTGGCGTCTGCCGCCCCCTTCGGTTCGGCTCTCCCTCGAGGAGGAGGAGGAGGAGGAGGAGGAGGAGGAGGAGGAGGAGGAGGAGGAGGAGTAGGACGTGGGAGGAGGAGGAGGAGGAGGAGGAGAAGGAAAAGGAGAAGGAGGAGGAGGAGGAGGAGGAGGAGAAGGAGGGGGAAGAGGAGGACGGGGAGGAGGAGGAAGAGGAGGAGGAGGAGGACGTGGCAGGAGGAGGAGGAGGAGGAGGAGGTCGTCTCTCTCTCTCTCTCTCTTTCTCTCTTCGTGGCTGTCGCCCCTCCCCTCTCGATCCATGTTTTCCTCGATGACTGCCCCTCGCTTCCCCCATCCCACCCAACCTCCTCTTCTTCCTCCTCCTCCTCCCCCTCCTCCTCCTCCACCCCTCGACACGGACTCCTCGCTCCTCGCTCCTCGCTCCACTCACGAGCTGCAGGTTGCGTCATCTAGACGGCCCCCCAAGAGGCCCAAATCCGGTCCCATCAGCCACGCGCAGAGGGGGGTGGGGGGAGGGGGGAGGGCTTCTTAGAAGCACCCCTGCTTCTCAGAAGGCGCGGTAGATGCAAGGCCGGTGCCTTCTAAGAAGCAGCCTCCATCTAAGAAGCTATCCCCCCTCCCTCCACCCCCTTGTGCGCGCCGCCAATCCCGAGAGGCTCTCGAGAGGCCGCAAGACACCCCCAAAACCGCCTCCGAGAGGCTTCCGAGGGAAGTCTGTCAGAGAGAGCTCTCTGGGAACGGCGCCAGTCACGCAGGAAGATAAGGCGCCCATATGCGCCTCTTATTGTTTCCCCTCCCTTGCAGAGGCTCCGGTCTGAAGGGGCGACTCGTCTGGTTGTTTTAAGTCGGCCCTGTCCTTCTACAGGGGGAATACTCAGAAATAGTCATAAAGATTGTAGGGGACGAATTTTGGGTGTGTTTATTACTTTCTGGGTATTTTAAACTATGTGTTGCATTTCATCAAAAATCCGCCTATAAAGAAACATGCCCGACCCAATTGTTGGTCTTTCTGCCAGTGCTCCGGAGAGGCTGGCCATGTGGATTATGCTTCGCAGTGCCTTCGATCTTCTTTTTCATCAGCCCACGCAGACCGCCCGCATCCTCCGACCTCGGGCGGCCACAGCCACCATGGAGCATCGTCAGAAAAGAAGGCCCTCTGCGGCTTCTTATAATTTCCAGCCTTGGCCCTGGTGCAGCCTCGAGGTGGCGCAAGATCATCCCTGGGCGGTCCAAAACGCCCTCATTACCCGAAGGCAGCAGCACGAAACACGAAGCAGGCAACAATAGCGTCAGCGCACAGCACAAGCAAAGCGCAGCAGCAGCAGCAGGTAGCGGTCAGCAGAATGCACCAAACAGACGTGGCCATCAGCAGCATTCAGCCACAAGCAACAACACCACACAGAGGCATGCACCGAATGTGAGGGTCGAGCCCCACATTGCAATGACACCCTCAGAGACCCCCACACGCTTCACCCCGCAAGTGGACGTAGTCCGCGGGTCAGCCCTAGTCATCAGCTACATCGCTGGGATTCGCGCGTGCAAGAAGGGCGAGCAGCGGCAGCAGGCGTTGGCGCTGGTCGGCGAGATGCGGGAGGTGAAGCCGGAGCCGAATGTCAAGTGTACTATATGGTCGGGAGAGGGCGTGCCAACAAACAACGGGGTGGCGTAGGAGGTTAGGAGGTGAGTTGGATAGGTGCGGAGAGGCACGAGATGGGAGGCAGGAGGAGGAGGAGGAGGAGGAGGAGGAGGAGGAGTGAGGAGGGCCAGAGTACACCCCGGATGCATCCACGATGCCGCAGCACGCCCTCCCGTCCTCTCCGCGAGCTCCCAGAAGCGTTCCCTGCCGCCACGGGGCGCGCCCCCCTCGACGGAGGAGCGGCGCCGTGGGCCCGCCACGGATGCGAGACCTCCTCCTCCTCCTCCTCTCCTCCTCCTCCTCCTCCTCCTCCTCCTCCTCCTCCTCCTCCTCCTCCTCCTCCTCCTCCTCCTCCTCCTCCCCCCTCCCCCCTCCCCCCCCCTCCTCCTCTCCTCCTCCTCCTCCTCCTCCTCCTCCTCCTCCTCCTCCTCCTCCTCCTCCTCCTCCTCCTCCTCCTCCGTGGGCCCACCACGGATGCGAGACCCCGTGGCATTTGACGCAGGGCACACTGCGGATGCCGCGCTGCCTTTGCGAAGCGGGGCCTCCGTGATGTCCCGGACGGCCGGTTCCTTGTCGCGGCAGGATGTCCAGGACATCCTGTTGCGTCACTTCCTGGCAACGGCGGGACCTTTCTGCCGATGACCTCGTGCCCCTCGACCCCCCCCCCCTTTGGTCAGGGAGCCCCCCCTTTTCCCATCCTCCTCAGCCAACAGGAACGCCAAGAGGTAGGATGATCAAGGTCAGGGCAGTGTCCAACGACTGCATCGCTCCGAAGAAGCGTCCGCCCCCCAGCCGCGGAAGTGCCGCACAGCGGCAGAAGCTACGGCTGGACACCCGCGGGAGCCTGCATGGGGAGCACCGCAGCGAGAAGGAGCCGCCCCCCACCCGTCGAATGGTGGCACCCTTCGAGGTCTCGCTTCGCACCTTCGAGGAAGAACCACCCGGACCCTACCAATGGCGCTCACCGAGCGGCCCTGGGCGTGTGCCAGACAGCCTTGCTCTGTTGGATTCCTTCTTCGGGTGCGTGTACTAAAACGGCTTCGCGTGCCGGGGTGATTCTTACGAGGGTGGATGTTCGGCCCTCTGCGCCTGCGGCGGAGGTCACGAGCGAGAGCCGCACTGCGAACAGAAACCCCCCGGCCGCGGCGTCTGCAGTAGGAGGAGGAGGAGGAGGAGGAGGAGGAGGAGGAAGAGGAGGAGGAGGAGGACCCGCTGGGAGCGTGTCGCGCGATCGCGAGGGGGCGCGAAGGCGAGGGGGCCCAGCTCGGAGTCCACCGACCCCATCCATCCTCGGAGGCTGGCAGACCTCCTACCCCTACCCCCCTTTGCGAGGAGGAGGAGGAGGAGGAGGAGGAGGAGGAGGAGGAGGAGGAGGAGGAGGAGGAGGGGGAGGAGGAGGAGGGGGAGGAGAGGAGGAGGAGGAGGAGGAGGAGGAGGAGGAGGAGGAGGAGGGGGAGCAGGAGGAGCAGGAGGAGTCATCGGAGGTTGATGGACCTCCTGCCCCGACACGTCGATTCGCGAACTGGCCGTTTTCGGTTCGCGAGAGGGCGCCGCGGCCGTCACGTTTGCGGGTCCGGGTCCGTCGGCCTTCGGCCCCGGGCCGTTTTCACCAAGGGGAGGTTTACGAAAGGGAGGTTTGTCCAACGCCGTGTGCAGCGGCTCGATGATCCGAAGGCGAGTGCACGCGGCGTTGGAGGAGGAGGAGGGGGGGGAGGAGGAGTGAGGAGGAGGAGGAGGAGGAGGAGAGGAGGAGGAGGAGGGAGGAGGAGGAGGAGAGGAGGAGGAGGAGGAGGAGGAGGAGGAGGAGGAGGAGGGGGGGAGGAGGAGGAGGAGGAGGAGGAGGCTTCCAGAATGCGTCCAGCGAGGCTTGGGTGTGTACAACAAGTGCGTCCAGAGCTGCGGCGAGAGCTGCAGTCTGGAAGCGCACGGGCCCTCCGCCCGTGCGACTCATAGGAGTGTCTGAAGCCAAAGGTCGCGGCCCCACGGCGAGAGCTGCTGGTCGGAAAATAACGGCCCCCACCCCCTGTAGACGAGGGAGTCGCCTTGGCTTCGGGATGACACACTGCAAGGAGGCCTCGACGCGAAAGGCACAGCCTGGCGGACACGCCTAGTGGTGCGACAGGGGGGAGTTGTTCGTGTGGAAGAGGGATGGAGGAGAGAATGAGGAGGAGGACGACGAGGCGGGAGGAGGCGGCGGAGGAAGGAGGAGGAAGGATGTGGAGGAGGAGGAGGGAGGGAAGAGGGAGGGGCGAGGAGGGAGGGAGGGGAGGAGGGAAGAGCGAGGAGGGAGGGGGGGAGGAGCGAGGAGCGAGGAGGGAGGAGGGAGGAGGACGACGAGGAAGGAGGAGGAGGCTGGGAGGGCGGCGGGCCCCCCCGCCCGCGGACCGACGGGCCAGGCGGC